ACTTTGATAAACACCCTTATTAATTCTATAAAAATATTAATTTTAACATTTTTATGACGAGAGAAAAAATTATATTAAAAAATACGTATGTAAGTAGGTACTATTTTTTTAAATTCGTAAATTTTGACATTTTATTTTTTAGTACCTTTTGTAGATTTATTACAGTTTATACATTTAGCCACAGCGCAATTTGAGATTATAACCCAACAAATAAAATAACAAAAACAAAATAAAAATATTAAATTTGGATGTCTTACACTTAAAATAATAATTATTATAATTTTAATTTGGAAATAATATAATAATAATACACGCAATATTCTCTCCACTCAAAAAATATTAAATTATTATTATTATTATTAAAACATTACCAAACATAATTTAACATAATAATATTATTAAACAATGCAAGTTTAATAACTAGTTTCGAACGTCGAATGTGCCGTACTTATGCTTGGCGAACGAATCGTGGTTACTAAGTGTTGCACATAACAGAATATTTACTTTAAGCGTTTCGAATTAAAAAAGGTCCGCATGAGCAACGGAGAGAGATAACTAGACTAAATCTATTTTTAGACTCGAAAATCTGGCAACCCTGTCGGAAGTGTCTACGATGCAATTGTCTCTATATATGATGGAAGTGACTAAGTCACGGCCATAGTACACAAATATTTATTTGCGAAATCCTTTCCCCTCTCTAGAGATTCGGATTACGTAGGTTCCCCTTCACTTATATATAGTTTTAAAATGCTTGTATAAGCCTTCGTTCATGTGGAAGTTAGGACGCCCTGTTTATACTACGGAAGTGACAACTTAACAGGCATCGATATATATATATATATATATATATATATATATACAGTAGAAACCACCAATATATGAACGTGACTCATCGGGTGCCGAACATATCTCAGACATGCTAGCAGTAATGTTTTACTTGTCTTGTACATTCGATGCAGCGGTAAATGTACTCACACGTAGGTTTTTAAGCATCCGGTCTAAAATGCGCCATCTGTGATGTAAAACTGCCTAGGTGTTGGACAAAGATTGACATATGACGCGTGTCCTAGCTTGTTATTTATTTTTGTTGGAATTCAGTAGAGTTCGTCTTTTAGGCAATTTATTTTATTTTATTACATAGTAAGGCAACCCACTTTACCGTCGGCATTTGTTTTTATATGTCATATGATCTTTGTTTTTGCATATCGTGTTTCTGCTGTGTGTTTACGGATTAATAATCGTTTTAAACGTTGTAGTGCTAGTGGTTTTTATTGCAATTGTTATTGCATGTTTATTGGACTTTATTGCAATTGTTATTGTACGTTTTTTGGACTTTAAATAAACGGTATGTGTTTACGGATTAATAATCGTTTTAAACGTTGTAGTGGCAGTGGTTTATATTATGTAACACAGGTAGATGTCGTATAAAAATCATTACCTAGAAATTCTAGGCTAGAAAACAAAAATATTTTTATTATATAAATTTTGTACTAGTATTAGTTTAATACATTCTGAAGAAGCTACTGTGTAGCTTAAAAGAATAGTATATTCTGTAACAAGTTTGGAATACGGCATATTCCGCTCGAGTGAAAAGGCGAGTTTGACGGTTTCACGAGAAGGGAATATGCAATTCCAAACGTGTTTCAGACTATACTTTTTCTACGTTTCCAAAAAATACCATAGACAAAGAATTTAATTGGAAGAAAGTGAGGTTGGATCGTTCTAAAATTTGTTAGATATTAAAAACAGAGATGTCGTGTACATTCTGTCATCAGATGATAGAATATTTCGTTAAAGTTAAAAGAAAAGTTTATTTATTAATTAGTTTCTAAGAAAATTACATTTTATTTAATTATCGTAGATGTTAATTATTAAAATTTAACTTTAAAAGCAAATATATCATAAGTATAGCAACCAACATTACACTCAAGATTTTTTACAAATACTTATGCCCCCGTTAGAACAACACTGCACTGGACCGTGACCTTCGATAGATTGCTTTGTACGAATGTGTCGGATGAGTCACGTTCATATATTCCTGGTTTCTACTGTATATATATATATATATATATATATATTAGGGTGTGTCATTTTTAGGCGATATTTTTTTTTTTTCGCTGTTATACCAGAAAATCTAATACTTTATAGAAAATAAAAAATTATGCCGCCGGGTAAAGGTTCTAAGTGCAATAGCGGTTTGGCTCATTTAAAAATTCAATTTCCCATTGAAATAACACAGAAGAATTTTTTTGTTCGTTTTAATTAGATTTTTCGCTGTTAAAAACTTTTTTCCCTAAAAACTTTTTTATAGCTTTTGTAGGAAATTAAATTCTCTACAAAATCATCCCTTAAAAATAAAATGGAATTTGAGGTCTATTTTTATAAAAGTTTATATTTCCAGCGCTATAACTCTGAAACTACTGGTTATACGGTCTTCGAGCAAAGGGATGATTTTGTAGAGAATTTAATTTCCTACAAAAGCTATAAAAAAGTTTTTAGGGAAAAAAGTTTTTAACAGCGAAAAATCTAATTAAAACGAAGAAAAAAACTTTTCTGTGTTATTTCAATGGGAAATTGAATTTTTAAATGAGCTAAGCCGCTATTGCACTTAGAACCTTTTACCCGGCGGCATAATTTTTTATTTTCTATAAAGTATTAGATTTTCTGGTATAACAGCGAAAAAAAAATATCGCCTAAAAATGACACACCCTAATATATATATTGTTTTTCCATTTCCATAACACGGGAATTTTTATTTTTTTAATTTTGAATTCTAATAACTTTGGAATGGTTTGTCTTCGCAACACCCAAGCGAGAGGAGTTATAGACAATTTCACGCTCTACAAAAAAAATCTGAAGGTCAAAGTTCTTTAGATAATATATGTGTGTATATATATATATATAAATGGAAAAACAACAAATGAATTGAGGCAAACCTTAATATTAATATTAAGGGCATTTTTGTTTTTTAATGTTTTTAATTAATTTGTAATATTTTGTGGGAAGAAATTACTTTGTTACGTGAACAAGGAAACCTTAAATGTCAGTGGTAGATTAACTATTTTACGAGATTTTTCCCTTTTAAAACATCTACTTTGTCTTTATTGAAGGGAAGGGTGTTGGCTTACCGCCTTTTCCTTTTACCTAATGATTTCTATACCGCCTACTTAAAACCAAACATCTAATACAGTTTGCGTAAAAACGGCTTCTGAATGAATATGCTAAAATCAGGTTTTGGGTCATCTTTTGTAATAGCTCGAATAAAACGCTTTTTTCTCTTTAAAATAAATATTTATAACACGTTTATCTGTACTAAAAGTTATCACTTTTAGCTTCCTAGAGGTGCAAATTCACTACTTTAAATTTTAAATCTACCGGTAATAAATTTCAGAGTTTGTAAATTTAACATAAACTTTAAATAATATTTTATCTATGAATAAACATTCTTGCAAATTTAATAACAGAATTTAAATCGTAATAATGCACATAAAACCAAATACGTCATATAATTTTATTGTGGAACAGTTAAAATTATTATTACTATCTATAATTCCATTTTTATATAGTTTCTTTGGAATCATGGCTTGGTAATTACTTATTTTGTCAAAAGATTTTTTTATTAAATTACTTTCGGCAGTTCTAAATAACTTAGGGCCGGTTTTTCAATCATAGTTTAAACTTGGTTCAGCCTTTGAACTTAGTTCAGAGAAAATATGACGTTTTTCAATCAAAGTTCAAGCCTGAACTTGGTTTAAACTAAATCAAAAGTTGAACTGTCACTGTTGGCCGTTTAAACGAAGTTCAACTTGACATAATTTAATTTTTCTCTGGTTGTTATTGTGTATAACGTTGTTTATTCTTTATAATCTGCTGTTATAATGGATATGTTTGAGGTTGTTAGTGAGGATGATGAGGAAATTGGCGAATTCCTAAATAATATTCGTGTGCACAGGCCACGGGTAATATGGCAAAGACCCAATCATTTTGCAAGGTGGAATGATGATGAATTTTTTGCCAGATTTCGGTTATAAAAATAATTACTGAATAGGTAATAGATTTTAGTAAAATTTTTCAATTACAGAAACAATGCTATAACTGCAGAAACAATGGTATTGTTAACATTAAGATTTTACGCAACAGGCTCTTTCTTGATTGTAGTGGGAGATTTTGTTGGAGTACATAAGAGCACTGCTTCTAAAATTGTGGATAACGTGACCATTGCAATTGCTCGATTACGCCCTGAATATGTAAGGATGCCACAAACGTTAGAAGAAATTCAAAGGGTACGTCAGGGTTTTTTTAATATAGCCCGGTTTCCTTTGTGTATAGGAGCGATAGACTGTACCCATGTGAAACTTCAAAGCCCTGGAGGAGATCAGGCTGAATTGTACAGAAATAGAAAACAATATTTTTCCATGAATGTACAGACCATTTGTGGTCCTGATTTAAAAATTAATAATATTGTAGCTCGGTGGCCAGGCTCTCAACATGATTCTACAATATTTAACAACTCAAATATTAGGGGACAATTTGAGCGAGGGGAGCTAGAAGATAATTTGTTATTGGGAGATAGTGGTTACCCCATAAGAAAATATTTGTTAACTCCCTTGGGCAACCCTCGAACTCGCCCTGAACAATTATTTAACGAATCATTAATTCGAACTCGTATAACAGTGGAAAGAAGCTATGGTGTTTGGAAACGCAGATTTCCAATTTTAGCTTTTGGCATTCGATTAAATATCGAAAAAGTTGAAGCCATCATTGTTGCAACTGCAGTGCTTCACAATATTGCATGTGATATGCGTGAACGAGATCCACCAAGGGATGAAGAACTTGAAGTAGTTATTGCTGAACAAGTTTTTAATGTTGAAGTAAATAATGACAATAGAAATGTAAATAATCTTACTAGAAACATGATAATTCGTAATTATTTTCAAAATGTTTAAAAAAATATTTACTGAATATAAACCATTAAAATTTGTTTTTGTTTTTAACATTTATTAAACAAGATTTTTGCATGCATTACATATTTTTCTTTTGGCATCAAGTTCTGCACGTAAAATTTCCAATTTTAATAGGTGTTCCTCCTCATCACGAGCATTTTTTCTCTGGTGGTCCTCCAAAAGGTTTTCTTTTTGTAAATGAAGAATATCTAATTTGGCCTTCCCCACTTGAGTCCAAATGTCGTTGGCCTTTTGTTTAGGTGTGATCTTTTGTTTAGGTGTGGCCTTTCTTGGAGTACTTATTTCTGTTTCATTTAAAATATTTTGAAAATTATTTTCTTTGTCTTCTTCACTCAAAGGTGTAGCATTAGATGAAGTTCTCCATCTTGGTACAAGAGTTGACGATTGCTTTAACATGGAGGGTTCATATGTCCTCCAATCGCCTAAAGTCTCTGGCTCCTCCAATACTTGTATTTTTTCTGATTCTTTTTCAATATTTTCATCATCATAATTGATTTCATCTAAATTTTAAATTTATTAAAATAAAAAAATCTGATGGCAATAAATAACTTACGAGTTTCGGTTTCAAAGGCAGGTATTTTTTTATTCTCTGTTGAACAAGTACTTAATTAGTAACAATTATATTTAAAGTTTAGTAACATTACCTGAACATATATTAACTGTGCTGTCATCATCGTAATTGGATTGACTTCCTGTTATACGAGTTCCTAAAATGTCCTTAACAGATTCTTCTAGGGAAGAAAATTTTGACATTTTTGATGGTCCACCACCTGTCCCTCTAGCATACACCTTTTCGTCAGCATACTTCTTTTTTGTTCTTTTTTTTATATTTTCATATTTTCTTCTTAATGTTAGGACATCCCTTTGATGAGTATTATTTGCGTTAAATACATTGCAAAGTTTTGCCCACTCAGAATTTTTGACCTTGCTAGAATTTACATCCGTTTTTTTGCATTCTATTATATTTTTCCGTTTACCCACTAATGAAATCTGTTAAATTAAAATAATTTGTTTTAAAATCACATTTAACAACAAGCGACAAATTCATTTTATACTATAAAACAAAATACATACCAATAATTCCTCCTCAAAAGAGGTAAAGTTGGAAGCACGCTTTTTATCCATTTAAAGCAGCACAGATTAACAAAACTTCAAAAGTAAACAAGTGTCAAAATGACAGTTCTAACTACTATTAATGTAGGCGTATACTAAATTTGGTTGTACCAACTTAACTTTTACACCGCTAATCTAAGTTCAACAGAACTGCTGTTGAGTTGACATTGAAAAACTCATTTGACGGTGAACTGAGTTCATTAACTGATCTCAGTTCCCCTGAACCAAGGTTTAAACCCTAATTGAAAAACCGGCCCTTAGTCTTAATGTAACAAATAACGAAAAATTCATTGTACTAATACAGATTAATCGCTTGTCCAGGTCGTTTGTTTAACCAAATAATTAATTTTTAAGTGCTCTTTGAAAAATTAATTCTTTATAACCCGCCAGAATAATAGTTTTGCCGGTAATTTTTATTATAATTTTATTGATTGATTTAATCTTTAGGTTTCCACGGGTTATATATGTATTAATGGTTTTCCAAAGAACCAAAAACCGACAATACGGAGCAGATCCCGAAAAATAATCAATACATACAAACTAAACTCTAGCTTCACGGCAAGCTGCTAACTAAAACAGCTGTTTTAGAGAAATTTTGTCTATTTTTAAAATGCTGTCATATCTACAGTTTTCGAAGTAGAGGGTTGATCAGCAGCTGATATTTTTAATTCAGTTGTACTCTAATGAAATTCACCCAATTTTTTGTTAATTGCTTCTATTTCGTTAAGTTATGTCCATCTAAAGTCAACTTATTTTCGAAAAATCGCTATTTTCAGATAGCAGAAACTTTTTACTCCGAACTTTGATTTGTTTTAAATTTTTAGAAAAGTTGCTCTGTTATGTCCCTAAGAAGCCCTAAAAATTTCTACGAGGGAATCTAGCTTGGATCCGAGCTATGAATTATTTAACATCCTGAAAATTACATAGTTTAAAATAACACCGGCCCATCCGGGGTCTGTATATTTCACCAGAAACACCTACCTACTTGTATTTTAACGCGCTGACGTCGAAAAGAGCAGTTTCAATGCCTGTTATATGGACTAGACAGATTGGATACCAGATTATAGAAGCATATTCCATCTTGACCTTATTAAGGAAAAATACAGCGTTTTTAGTGAGCTTTCATTTATAAATTGTTTGGTATTTCGAATGAGAAAACCAAACATTTTGAAAGATGAGTCATTGTTGATTTCATAATTATATAGTATACTATGCTTTTTCTTTGTATCATACTCTTGCATTTATTGTTTAAATGAAGGTTATTTTTGATACATCAATTAAATAGATTATTCAAATTATTTCGCAGCTTAATGCAATCATCAATAGTTTTGATTTCTAAGTAGAGTTTCTTTAAACTGTTAAAATGTCTGATATGTCGTTGATAAAGATAAGAAAGAGTCCTAGGTTGGATCCTTGTGGAACATCCGTTGTTGGAGTAAACGGTTTAGAACAAAACTCATTGTAAGAAACATACCACGGTGCTGTTCTGAGAGGTGATTTTTGGACTTTCTGTGAAACCTATTTTTTTTTATATTCTTGTTAATTAGGTCATAACTAAAATTTTAAGAGCAAAATACAAAAAATTTGACGGTTAATTTTGTTTTAATTGGATGTTTATTAAAAATATGTATGCACACTTTCAATTCTCCAATTAAAACTAAAAGGTCTATACATTTTTTATATCTTTTACTGTTTTGTTGTAATACACGTTTAAAGTTGTAATTTAAGGTTAAATGTATAGTATATATTTATTAAACAATAATTGTAAGGGTGCCACATTTTATTTAGGGCCGATTTATTCATTTTTGATTTATTTGACGAATAATTTCTTTGGATACTAGATATTGCCAAGACATGAAAGTTATCGGCCCGATAAACTTTACTAAAGATGTCATGTTTTCCATGAAAAAAACATTAAAATAAAATTAAACTTATAGTAATAGTACCATGTACCATGTACCAAAGTACACTTTATTAAGATGTTCACTTTAAAACAAATCCGTTTAAAATTGCACAATAAATAAAGATTTTACAGGGGTGAGTCGCAAACAAATGGGTCACGACGTTAAATATATATATATATATATATATATATATATATATATACGTACGTACGTATAAATATATATATGTATGCGTGGACGTGGAGTGAGCTACGTTGCCGCTGATCGTTAATTAATTAATCTGCGTGGACTGCGGTTAGACGTGGTGCCCTGTCCTGTTTTCTTTTGGATGTTCAATTTTCATGTTTTTAATCTCATATTTTTATTGTAACTTTTTATTATTTTTTTAATGAAAAGTAAGTTTAAAAACAAAAATTTTGAAAAAAATAAAGTAAACTAAAGTTGATATCTCTTGAATAAAGGAATTTTAAAAAATCTCGAAGGCTACAAAAATAAAAACAATCAAAGAAACAGAATCAAGATGATGACGTATATATCTCCGACGGTGGTCTAGTGGTTAGTGCTGCTGAGTCAGCAGTGCTGACTACAAGCCGGAGGTCGTGGGTTCGAATCCCACCAGGGGTATGGCTGTTTATTTGTGTTGTCCTATTGTGTAATAGTTTTTCGGAGGGGACTTTAAGCCCGCGGTCCGTTCCTACCCCTAACCCGCACAAGCCATTCAGTTGGCTTATGGAACTAAAAGAGCACTTTTTTTTGTATATATTGTATGTAAGATTAGTAACTAGAAACTAGTAGTTTATAAAATATATGTAAAAATAAACAAAAAACATTTTTTATTGTAAAAAATGCATGCGACTACTAATTCCTAAAAAAATTTAATCTTAAAAAATAACTTCAGAAAGCGACTAAATCATATAAGGTGAGACTCGATGTATAAAAATAATTTTCTTTTTAAATTTTAAATATAGATAAGAATGTGTTTTCCAGAAACATTAATCAGAAATTTAGGCATATTCATTTAAAATTTATATTTTGATTAACTTATATTATATATCCATGTATCAAATTTGACATGACCAAGCATAAAAAGTAAAAGAATATAATAATGCATTTTTAAACTTTTCATGAGTTTTATGTTTAATGGGCAAATAAATTGTAAGCAATAAGGGAATATGTAGAAATTCATATAAAAATGTTTGACATACCATTTCATCTCGTTGGATTTATTACCGGCATCGTTATCGTAAAGCTTCTTTATTTCTTCATGTATGAGATATAAATATGGATACCTTACTCCATCCAGTGTACGTTTACGCATTTTAAAATTAAAGGGAATTTACCTTTACGGCCGTCGTAAATTTTATTTGCTTCCCGATAAACTTCTGTAACCTTTCGATAAATTTTATTTTTTCCGATTTTGTCGAATGATGAACTTAACTCATAAAAGATAAAAATGACTTAATTTTTTTATTTGGCATTTTAAAACATAAAAATATTCTATAAAGTCGCACGTATTAATAGTTATTTATGTCATAAGGCTGAGAGGTGAGCCTTTTTGTGCTGCTCTCAAAGGCCAACGCGTTAGCGGAAGCCTACAATTGAGCGAAGACACGTCTCAGTCGAATGGCATAAAACATTCAATCTTCAAGACACAGCTTTGTTAAACATAAACCGTACTTACAATTATAATAACAATTATTAAAAGTATAAAGTGAGGTAACAGAACTGACATCAGTTATCGAATTTTTTGATTGGTTATTACTGAAATTTTACAGACTAGGATGTAAAAACGTATTAATTATTAAAATATGTATACAGCCTAGGAGATAATCGAATACTTTTGGAGTTGACAATAATAAAGTTAAATTATAGAACGCTTAAAGATAAAAGCTATTATTATTCGTTAATAATGTTAAGTATACTTCCTATAAGAATAAATATAAAACATAACAAATGTGATGAAAGATGATAAAAAACAAAGCGTGATTTACTGGCGTATATGTTATAAATCATTTAAAATGAAAATATGCCACATCGCGAACAATGTATTACAAAAGCAGAATAAAGCACTAAAGATTTACTTTTAAACTGTTAAAAATGCTATAAATAAGTTCGTAATGCTAGGGAAGACATTTATTTAATTATACAGTCACTTTTATTGGGGCTTAAAATAAAATATGTAATAGTATATTCTTATACGAGAGATAATGCGCATAATCTTGAGTGTAATACTATACTTTATCTACTTCTATGGCACAATATTGTTTTTTTTTTTGCGTTTATAAGGATAAAATTATTAATTCACTGCATAACAATAAGAATAATGAACTCATTGTTAATGTTGCCCATTTCAATATTCGTTGCGATTTAAATCAATCAGGTTTTAAATTGGTAAATAGTGAGGTTAACCATTTGACAGATCGTCAGGTTGTATGTTAAAAAAACGAAAAATTTAAGTCTATGTTTCTACAGGATTATACGTGGCCTATGCTTCACATACCACTTAAAAATAATTCTATGTATACATATATGGTCAATTCTCATATAACTTGTTCCGATGCTGTATCCACTCAACTCAACAATATTTCAACAAAATGGCCGTTCAAACAACTAATGTTAGTGCTTGATTAACTAAAAATAGACTTAAGATTGACAAAAAATTATTTTATCCGAAATCGGCAGTAAAGTAGTCAACAATCGTAAATTAAAATAAATCGGCAGTAAAGTTCTACTTTAGGAAAAAATTAATAGTTCCCATTACCTTAAAATGCTACATGCTCATTACACTAAAAAAATCCTTGAGCGAGAATTAGTTTTCACAAAAAATAAGTGGATACAGCATCGAAACAAGTTATATGAGAATTTACCATATATATATAGAGTTATTTTCAAGTTGTATATCAAGGGTAGATTGCATAAAACCTTGTAGAAGCATAAACTCAAATTTTTCGGTTTTTTAACATACAACCTTGTTATATTAGTGTGACGAGATGTCAGATTTTATTTATTTATTTTTGAAAATCATTTAATTACCTACTTATTAAAGTGGATAAAGCATTGAGATTATTTGGATTATACGGATTATTTGAGTCACTCGTCTAGCGACTCGAGACGTAAACCTTATCCTTATCTACTTTTTTTAAATTATTTTCAAAAATAAATAAATAAAAGCTGACATCTGTTACATGGTTAACCTCACTTTCTACTAATTTTAAATATTACTATAGTCGGAGTTCGTTCTTAGTTCTGGTGGAGCGTGCATCGCTTATGAAAGAGTGTAAAAAATATCCGACTTTGCGGCCCAGGAGAGGCAAGATGGGATTCCCGGAATGGAAATATCCTTTATTCTTCGACAATATTCCTCGATAGGTCCTTTTATAAAGGAAAAGGGGAATTTATATAAAGCTATATTTGAAGTTTATATAACCTATATGTGTGCACATGTTGTTTGTCCGAGGGTGGATCTTGCTGAAATCATTGGACGTTAATACTATTACCTGGTTAATAAGAACCAATGTCCAGGACCATAAGGGCGGTAGGTTTAGCTGTAAAGCCGATTTAGTTGAAAGAAGAAGGAGAATTGTTATAGTCGCCTCGCAAATTAAAACTCGATTGCTTCAATTTACAGTGAATATTAAAATCGGCCAATCAGTGATGCCTAACAACGTACATAATAAATTCATTATTCCCGTTGTTAGGTGCTGCGGTTATAATGGTAATTAATATTGTTTTTATGGTTTTATGGTGTGAATAAAATATGCACTGATTTATTAACGAACGGATTTATTTTATAACTTAATAACAATTAAACCACTAAGAAACTATAAAAGTAACAAGAGTCCGCTATGCCTATATATCCAGTGCGTACGTGACCCACATCACGCTCGATCGCTCGAGCGTTGACTCACCGGCGATGAGTCACCAAGGACATTGCGAGATCCAGAGTAGTGCTCGCTGCAATATATATATAAAGAAAACCCAATATTATGCAATAGGAATAGATAATAGTAAATGATGTATAATGATTGATAAAGGCCATTTGTATTGAGATAATAAAATAATTTTCACATTTTGTATTATTTCTTAAAAAGGGCACTTTATTTGTATAACTATCAACTAACTTAAAACCAACTTCAGCCTGTGACTAAAAACCTGTTGCTAACTTCAGCCCGTGACTAAAACTTAAAGCCACAACTTTTGAAAGGTCACTTAGTGTCATGGAAACATGTACATTAATGGACCTTTTAGAGGTGGAAAAAATACTTTTGTTACGTCTTGAAAAGTCCAATATGATCAAAAATAAGATATTTGTAAAAAATCACTTAGTACTGCGTTATCTACTAGTCAAGTGATCATATATATATATAATATTAATATTTAAAAACTAATGTTAGAATGTCATAATGATCAGTTATTAAATTTAAAAAATACGTAGAAATGATGATCTGAGTTTTAAAACTTCTTTGGCTTCTCCTGAACAATTTACATTATGTAACTTAATACACTTCACCTCTGAGTAGTGTAAAATAAAATAAAGGGGGGTTTAGGAAATGATTATTTTTTAAATGTTAATATTGTGTATGTGTCTTTTGGGTGGGAAATAGGTATGAGGATCACGCAGCATTTTTTTTTATTTTATTTTAATAACAAACTCATTATAATAATTATAGTAACATGAATAATTATTCATATTATTACTTTTATATCCCTAATTAGATAGTAGGTACCATTGAAGTAGTTGAATTGCATATTTTTCATAACTATTGTTAATGTCTTCTAGCCATCATTTTACTTTATCGTTAAAATCTATTTCCTTTGAAGTTGTCCTTTCAATTGACAGAATTGAGAAATTTACTAGTCGTTTTTGGATTGTCGTAGATTGAAAATAATTTTTTATTAGTTTAAATTTAGAAAAACTTCTCTAGCAAGAAGTATTAAAGTATAGGTAAGGATTCACTGAAGTCCCATTTGATGATAAATTGAAGGATTTCTTGAGCTGTCCACTGAGCAGGGCCTTCTTGAGACGCGACTAGATCACTATTTATACTGTGCATACCACATGACCAAGGCAGATATGCGGATTTGCAGTTTATGCACAGAAACATGCGGCTGATGCGCAGTAGAAAACTGCACATCTTCCTTCCCAAGAGCACTGTATATAAATAATATGAATGTAAAATTTTAGGTTTATTAAAAAATATTCTTTAATAAAACTCAGATTCTCAGTTATTTAGTCGGCCACTGTCTCTGAGGTACAGGTTTTAGTTAAAAAATATTTTTTTCTACTTTCACCTTTAAAACGCCCATTATCGTACATGTTTCCTTGACACTAAGTGATCTTTAAAATATACATTGACAAGCCATGGCTTTAAGGTGCTTTATTCAAAGGCTGAAGTTAGCAACAGGTTTTTAGTCACGGGCTAAAATTAGTTTTAAGTTAGTTGACAGTTGTCAAATACACAATCGTTAAAATAAAGTGCCCTTCTTGTGAAATAATAATGTGGAAATTATTTTATTATCTTAATACAAAAATAAAAAGTATTTGTTACTAAAATGGCTTTAATCACATTTGTTACATAATATACTATTAAAATACATATTTCTGACGTCATAAAGAATTCTTAATTATTTCCAAAATTTTGTTAATGCAATATGGGGGTTAATGTCTTTTGTAGCCACTTATTTGATGTACCTAAAGTGAAAACGACTATTTTATTAGTAAACAATGCTGTTACTAATTCAAATAGTAGAATTTCATTTTAATTTCTTTAATATAATATTAATTTTAATTTCTTTAATATATTGGCCATTAAAAAAATATTTAATAAATAATCAAGATTTTGGTAAATTGAACGATTTAGAATAAAAGCATCGTCTATCGCATCTACAAGTTCCCCAGGATAACAGGGTGATTTGAGACCGAAATTCTGGTTAAAGAACGTATTTACGCAAATAAATTTAAAAAAAATCCTGGCTTTTTTGAGGTCTACTATTCTTTTTCAGAGAAACGAATGTACTTTGGTCAATATTAATATTTAATCTTAACACTATTACATTATTTAATATTAGTATATCTAATAATTTAAATTAATTTTTGTAATTTTTTATAGAAATATTATTGTTATTATCATTATTATTAAAAATAATAAATTGCCACCAAAATCAACCGCGTGTGTCAATATCGTTAATTTAGGCTACCGGCGCTTGTAAGACTCCTTAAAGAAATTCTGTGAGTTGGTCAATTTAATAAACCATTTTGTAATACAATATTTCCTATTAAAACAGTCTGCTGCATGAGTAACTCAACGCTTAATTTAA